TTAAAGAGTTACAATTTGGAGATGTCTCTCAAATGACACTTACATGAGGAAAATCAAGTTGTTTTTCATATTAGCGGTAATCCTGTCTTTTATGAAAGGACCAAGCACATTGAAGTTGACTGTCATTTTATTCAAGAAAAGATTGTATCCAGAGACATTAAGATTAAATTTGTTAACTCAAGTGAACAGTTAGTAGATATTTTCACCAAGTCTTTATGGGGATCTAGAATTAATTATATTTGTACCAAGTTTGGTACATATGATATATATGCATCAGCCTGAGGAGGAGTGTTAGATATTTTAGATATTATTAGTCACAATATATGTATTTAACATATTTACGTGTATGGCTCTTAATTATAAATATATTATCCTATGTGTATTTTAGGCACCAGTAAATTAACTCTATACCTAATTTTTCACTATATTCAACAAGGCCAAATCAGCAAATAGGTGACAAAGAGTTAGTTTGAGGTGAGAGATAGGTGTCCAAAGATCTGGATATGCAGGGACTGTATAGGAGTGCCTGGGCTTGGGCAATGAATTCAAAGCGCAGAGAATTTGTTTGGGGACTGAGATATAGTGTAGGAGAGTGAAGGGAATGCAGGGACATAATTGTTATCAAGAGTGTACCCTCCCTCTCTCATGGTGGTCTCTTTTGTTTCCCTTGGGTTATTCTGTTTTTTTTCCTCTGTACTCACTATGGCCAGATGAGAATGTAGATTCTTTATTCTCTGTTATTCCAATTCTACTCTCTTACATTGGTGCTTTCATTGCCACCATGACTGAGAATACAAGACTGAAAGAGTTGCAAAATGACATTAGAGGTATGATGGAGAGAAGAGTCAGAAACTTTAAAGTGTGATGGAGAGAAGAAGCACTTGAAGATCCTAGAATTAGCCACTGCTGATCTTTATAATTAGAAATCACATTGTGGTCCGAGCACAAACACAAAGAATATTGTTGTGCAATCATTTCAAATAAGGAGTGTTAAACTTGCCTTTCCTCATTTTGGTGAGATTGAGGTATTACATTGGATTTTAAAGCAGAGCAATTTTTCAATTATTATAAACCACTCATGTTTTGGCAATAAGGATTTATTAGAGCCCTACTAAATATGGTTTTTTCCTGTATGATTGTCCTCTCCTCGTTCTACCTTGTTTAAGTTGTGTCAAAATGGTTACAATACCCATCAGAACTTCAGCTTGTAGACTTGTTTTCAAAGAGACTTCCTTCAAAACGGTTTCATGATCTTACATGCAAACTGGGAATGATTGATATTCATTCACTGTTGTAAATTTTTCTCTTTTCTATTTGTTATCAGTTGTAACTATTTTGTTACAACTAACATGCTTGAGGCTAAGTTTATTTCTTCTATGCTTTTTGGTTGTAACGTTGGGTTCTGATTTACTGTATGATCCATCCTTTTATATATCAGTGGTGGGAGCTCTACAATATCTTACTATCACTTGAAAATAAATATGTTTCTCAATTAATAACATTTGTTAGTTTATGTCAGCTCCTCTTGAATCCCATTAGACTATTGTAAAACTAATACATAGATATCTAAAGGGAACTTTTTATTGTGGGAATATATATTATTCCAGCTATTTCTAATGAACCTATAATGATTAAATTTTTTATGATGCAAATTGGACTGTTGACCCAGATGATCATCGGTCTACCTCTAGAGCTACAATTTTTCTTGGTCCTACTTTGGTTTCAAGATGGTATCGGATGCAAACAATTATTGCTAGATCCATTACAAAGGCAGAATATCAAAGTTTTGCCTTATCCACTATTAAACTTCTTTGGATTCAAAGGCTTCTTAGTGAACTTGCTATACCTCATTGTGTTCCAACTGTTTATTGCGACAATCTTAGTTAGTTAATCTCTCTCATAATCCCATTTTAGATTCCAAGAGAAAGCACATGTAACTTGCTATTTTTTTTGTTCGAGAGTGTGTGCTAGCTAAACAACTGGTTGTTAAACATACTTTAAGCCATAATTAGTAGGAAGATATTCTTACTAAATAGTTGTCTCCTACAAGATTTTTCTCTCATATCCAAACTCACAGTAGTTGATCTACAGGTGTGTCTCACCCACCTTGAGTTTGTGGAGTGATGTAAGAAATATTTTCAATATTCACTACCTTTAGGATTTTAGGGTTTATTTGTTTGATTTACAAGATTTGAATTAATTATTGCTAGGATAGTTAAGGTGTTGTAGTTATTAATAAGGTAGTTGAAGTGGGGTATAGAGTACTCTATAAATTGAGCATCCATATATTGTTTAGAATTAAGAAATAGAAGTATAGTTTTCTCTTCTTCGAAATCTTTACCCATATATTAGAAAGTGGATATAGGTCTAACTCAACTTATAAAACTGACTTGTAAGATGAGATTTGTATCCTAATTATATATAATAATTTAAACATATCACTAATCAATATGCGATCTTTAATGCACCCCTTCACACTAGAACTAAACATGTTGAACGTGAGATTAAATAATTTTGGGATTTCCAATATAGCCTCTCACATTGAAGATATTGATAACTTCTAACACACCCCTCACATCAAACATATGATTGGTTCAGTATCAGTTGGTGCAAAGATCGCAACAAACATTTAGGATAGGTTCTAATACCATATTAGAAAGTGAATATAGACCTAACTTAACTCGACCAAATCGGCTTGTAAGATAAGATTTATACGGCACTTATACACTATAATTTAACCATAACTTTAAGTCAATATGGAATCTTCAACACACCCTCTCATGTTGAAAATTGGACATCTCAAGCATGCAATTAGATATTGGTGGGATTCCCAATATCTCCTATAAAAAGATCATAAATAAACACAAACTATCTTGAACACATCTAACCACAAAGAAATACCCTTAAAATGTGTACATTAGCATTACCAAAGAATAGCAAGGAAAGGCATTCTGCCATAAAGTTCTAGCCCCTTCAGTTTTTTTTTTTTTTAAACCCTTAAAAAGTTAAAACATGCATTAGAAATTACTCAAACTAGAAAGACACAACCATATTCACCAACAACTACATACAGATTTTCCACAACAAATAGCCACCTGTTTTCTAATTAAGAGTGATAGAATAACTAAATCTGCAACTGAAAACTGAACTGAATTATAGAATCAGTTGGTTACAAAACTGAGAGGTTCAGCTAAGATTTGACCCTAGGAGTTCAAATTTTCAGATTGACTCGTGTAAAACTCTAAACTTATTATTTCTTTAGTTGCAATCTGATTTGAAGCACATATTTTCCTTCTCTTTACTTGGTAGAATTTCTTTCTTATCAAATAAAAATGTATTTAATCTTCAGAAAATCACATACATCACATAAAGCTAAGGCTAAAGTAACTAAATGTTGCCTGTGACATACTTTCTGAGTTCAACATACAGCTACTCTGGCACTGGCTCTTTTACTTCAAGAAAACATTTTGTTTTACTTATAATTACACAACTACTACCTTGTTTTTTATTTTTTTCAATTTGTTTTGTATTTTCAAATATCCATAAAGGACCCGATGAAATTAAATTTTATTCCTCTATTTACTGACAAATCTTTGAAAATAAGAAACAAATTGAAAACAAGATTGCAGTTTTGTAAATTAGAAGTGAAAGTAGAAAATAAAAACATGTGTAAACAGAAAGTGAGTCAAATTAAAGGAGTGTACAACAACCAAGCTTAATTAAAGATAAGAGAGTCAATCAAGTATTAAGGTTCACAGGCAGCTACAAATTGAAAACAAGGTTGCAGTTTTGTAAATTTAAAATGAAAATAGAAAATAAAGACAGAAGAAAACAGAAAATGAATCAAACTGAAGAGTGTATAGCCAAGCTTACTTAAAAATAACAAGAAAGACAATCAAGTAATAAGGTTCACAGAATCACAAGCAGCTTGCAGCCTTTTTCTTATCAATTATTAAAGAAAAGATATCATGGATGAAGGTTCCAAAACATAAAATATAACAGAAAAAAGTAAAAAAAGGAAGCTAAGAAAACAAGCATGTCACAAAAATAAACTAGAGGTAGTAGTTAAAAATTTAGAATTTCACTTCCACCAAATTGGCCACACTACTGCTGAAGAAACATATTTCGAAGTACCTTGCTCTCCTTTCTAATCTCAAATGCTTGACTAATGGTCAGGAAAAGACCTCCTAGGCAGACATTGAATGCTTTTCTAAAGAAATCAAATGATGGGACTCAACTCTCAAGAGTCTAATAAACCACCTGCAAGGACTCTGCTATGTGGCAGTTATTAAGGACACTAATGTATTTAATAATGCAGAACTATAGTATTTAATTAAGCAGGATGGTTATGTAGTAGTTGTGTACTTAATTCCGCAGGACAGATATTTAGCGGTGATGTGTCTAAGTATGCAGGTCAGTGATGTGTAGAAGTTATATATTCCAAGTAAATAAGTAGAGATTTGGAGCCAGTTATTGGCAATTTAGGTAGAGTTCATTATCTGTAGGATTTTCTCATAGCATTCTCATTGTAGTTTCTGCAAAATGCTATGTTTAACATATGAAACTTAATGTCAATCACCAAACAACGTATTCCACAACTTCCAAGCTACCTAAAATTTGAGAAAAACTAACTCTTTCCATTAGCACATGTTTAACTGAAAAATGTACCAAAACACGATAAAAGGTAAACTTGAGATGACAGGAGCAGGTTGACATCAAATAGGGCTTCCATCTAGGGCGGCAGAACCAAACCTAACCAAATTAAGTCACCGTAGTGACCAATATGCTAGTCATCACACATATCAACTTAACACGCACAAAAACACAATAAAATAGGGTTCAACATTATTTAAAACTCAATTCAAACCATAAATTAAAATGCTAAAAGTGATAAATTAGGGATTAACGAAATAAACATCATCAAGATAAAAGAACACCTGCAAGAAACCATCACATAAAAGTCGATAAAGAAAAGAAAGTACCAGCCTGTATCCAAGATCCTACCTAAATGCCAATATATGGACAGTGACTGGCTTCAACAGAAAAAGTTGAATCGGATGGTTTTCTTCTGGTTTCTCCAAACAAGCATTTATGCCATTTAGAAGAAGGTAGGAATGTATTGAAATTTTCCCTGAAGATGCATATCTATCATTATTTGGTTTTGGAATTTCAATCACCCGAGTCTCCAATTTAACACACTCTGCCATACCAAATGAAGAAGAAGAACTGACAACCACTTTAATCTCATGAAAATCAAAAGTAACATCAAAATTGTCCCGACTGATAATGTCATCAATGTCTTGATTGGCCTCCCTTCTGTGTGGAAATCTAACAAAAGGACCATCAACAAATACTCCAAAATGAATGTGTTTCTCAGGAAGCTTTTGATGCAAGATCCTAATCAATTCTTTAGAATAACAATCATATTTGTCAACCCAAGGAATTTCAGCATTGTCTGTAAAATCTGAAGCAATGGACACTTCCCTGCTGTCCTCCCAGTAAATAGCATGTTGGATCTGACTAAGAAATAGAGACAGCAATGATACTGAAGAATGAGTCAAAACCAAATTTAATTTCCCTAGCATTAAACCACATTCACAGAATCCAAAATCTGGATTCTTATGGTCTGGGCACATGGAAGATATCTCAAACCTAGAGAGAAGGCATGGGTTTTCAGAATACTCAATCTCATTTTTATTCAATTTTCTGCAAATTCCTTTCCAACTTACAGACAACTTTTCCATAAAGCTTTCAATATAAGCATCACAAGAATCTACAGCCTGGCCTGCATCAATTTCTGAAAGGGGAAATATTTTAGCAGGTGCAACCCACATAATTGATTCCATATGATTAATACCAGCCTTTTCATTTTCTTTAGCTGAACTAAGTTGATTTACTGGACATGCATCTGCTGAAATTGCCAAAGGTGCAGATTCAACCTTCACTTGCCCACATGATAGAAAGATTCTTCGTTCAAAAATATCTTTTACAGATACTAATAACAAAGCATCAATACAAAAACATATTGAAAGGACATCTGAACATACGATCCCAGCACGTGACTGTAACTTTTCATATGCAGATGGATGAATATTGTTGATTTTGGAGACTGTCATTATAATTTTCCCAAAGTTGAGCATAAAACTATAACTTTGACAAGGTTCTTCAATAAGACTTTCCAAAGAATCTAAACAACATCCATCAATATCTGAATCGTGAACTATTCTTTTCCTAGAAAATATATTTGCTAGACAATGGGTAAGTATAGAGATCACTTTCCACATACATGCCAGTATAAAAAGAAAAGGACGAAAAAATTTATTTGTAGTGGCAAATTCCTCATTACAATTAACTGAAACTTTCAATGCTGCTCTATAACGAGCTATTCTCCTTGCCAGTGATATGCCTTCAACAGGCAACTTTTTCTCAATGTCAGAGATCAACTCCCATTGACATCTAGCCGAATTTAAAATCAGTTTGTTATAAGACATTTTAGAAATGAACTTTTTCCATGTGCGGCTACTAGAATATCCAAATAACAGCAAGATATTCTCATAAGCATTGACATAATGTATCCATTGACCTATAACTCCAACTAATCTATGCCATGACAACCTAGGAGTTACAGTCACATGGCGAATTCTGGCGGCAGCTATTCTCCATAATTCTCCAGCACTTCTAGATTGATTGTATTTATTTGATAGCAATTTGTGAAAAAGTAGACATGCAGAAATGCCATCTGGAGAGAATGAAAAAGCCAGTTCTGGAAAACAGATAGTGCAATCTACCACCTTAAGATCTCTGAATTTAATAAAACTATGCACATCAGAAGAAAGTAAAGCATGGTCTGAGGGATTTTTTCCAATTAATCTGATCCTGAATCCATCACCTTTTAATATAACGGTGTTATCTTTCATTGGACTAAAAACTGTACTAAGAAAATCTCTAAGAAGACATCTTTGATCCTCACATTTAGATGTTGCACTTAACTCATTTATTTCCCCAAAACACATAAACTCATCATTTAAGACTGGCAATTGAACCTCCACATGAATGTGATGTGCCACTAGATGACAGTTTTTCAAAATAAGATTCCAAAAAGATGTTGTTAAATCTTTTTTCTCTGGTACAGCAAATAAGATCCCCTCCAAAATGTGATGCAATGAACAGCCCTACAATTAATACAAAAGGAAACCAGTAACAGTAATCACCATAATGCCATTATATTTAACAGATTAAGTCTGTATGGGAAAGCAAAAAACAAAAACTAGCAGCTTAGGTACGCATCTATCTTAGGAATCAGAACAGATATCAGTCACAAAGTACCTTTTTCCCGTTTTCAACAAATCTACCGAATAGGCACCAAGTGTTTTCCCCATTCTAGTAGTATTCTCTCGTTATAAACAGCTATAAATGGTTAAAAGTTAAAACATGTGATAGAGACAGCCACAATCTTCCAACTCAACAAAACCTAAGTAGTTTCTGTATATTTTCATTATTTTACTTACATCTTGCACAGTACCTTGGTACAGAAAAGAAGGTTCACTAGTATGAAAATGAGTTGGGATGGGATCTCTCTGATTGATCGTTTGTTAAACTCAAAAAACTGTTAAGAAGTCTGTTTTCTACCTGATTATTTTGAAAGGCTGTTCTCCACGGTATGTTGTCAGAGTAGAGAAAGGACCACACATTTTTATTAGCTTCTTTTTTCTTTGACTAGTGTTCATGAGTCTCTTTACTCTACTTCAAACAACTACTATCCCTACTATCCCTACAGTCACCGGAGCATCCTGAAGCATTACAAACAATCTCTAAACAAAACTCATAAAACCAGTGATTTTAAGTAATAATTCTATCAAATATCTTAAAAATAGAATCAAACAATAAAATGTACCATCCTACCAGATTAAGTAACTGATAAGAATAAATTATTTTTAAGATTTAATCTCATTTGGTTGTGATAAAATCCGTTACTGCACCAGTAAAGGACCTCACCAACAACAACACGTGCCATTTTCCTCAGTGTGAATCGTAAATTTAGACTCGGAGAAGTGCATTCGTTACCTCAGGATCAAGCGCCGAGAGATTTTTTATCAGATAATCTGAAAATTCATACTTCGATTTTCGCAACCGCGCCACGCATTCCTCAGCTTCCGGCCTCCTTCAAAGCAAACAGTTACATCATCAGCTAAGGAACGAAAAAAGAAAGAAAGAAAGCTGATAGCGTTTATTTTTGCGACTGTTTGATTACTCGAACGATTGCACGATGCGCACGCCGTGAAGTTCGAACGTGAAGGCCGGGGGGAACCAGGTGGAGAATCGAAAGGTGATGCGTTCGACGGTGAGGTCCTTGAAAAACAGGAACGCGGGAGCGTCGAAGAGGAGGTTGAGAGCGGAAACGTCGAAGCTGAGGTTGGTGAGAACGGCGAGAGAGTGGAGGAACCCTAATTGGAGATTGAGGTGAGGCTCTTCTTGGAGCCATGGTTGGAGAAGAGACAATAGTCTCCGCCGGATAAAGCTTTTCAAGGGCATGGACAGACTGAGAGTGATATCATGAATTGATTGTTGGTTTGGTTATGCTGTGCGAGGTGGAGAAGATGAATTTGGAGGAAGGATTAACAGAATTTCAGTTTGTGAGTGGAATGGGTGTGTGACTCGGCGGGAAAGGGAAATTGTTGGACGTGTCTATGACAAGGTTCGTGCAAACTTCATTACGTGTTGGACACGACATCTAGTTGTCTTCATCCTGCTTTATCCGCAAATCTTTGTTTCATTTTAACGGTGATTTGAATTGAATTGTGTAAAAACAATACTAGGAACCGATCGTACACATCTGCTAGTTTTAGCTTTTCGGGAATGCGACAATGCCTCGTTTATTTGATATTGAATTTTTTTAATTAAAATTAATAATTCAAATTAAAAAAAATTACCATTTGAATATTTCGATTCAAGTGTATATTTTAAATTAAAATTTATATTGAATTTAAATTAAAACTCCACCGTCTTTATATTTATCTACAATAGGTATTCTTTTAAAACTTATAAGAACTTACCGACAACATGTAGGAGTATAAATTGCATTTATCATTAATGAAATGTTATAAGGATATTTAAGAGAAATATATATGTGATTGTATACATTATTAGTTTTGAAATTCAAAAGTTTACATTATATTATAAAATTTATAATTAATTTATTTCTGATTCTTTTATTTTAATTATATATATATATATATATATATATAAATATAAAGTTATTTATCTTTTCTATAATAAATCATTACTTCGTTAGAATGGTAGGTTTTTATTTTAATAAAATGCTATCTAAATGTTTTTTTAGTGAGATTTAAAGAATATAGTTCATAAACTGACAAATTATAGACTAAAATAAGTATTTCGTTAATGAAAAACTCTTGCTTTACGAATGGTAATGGTGATATCCGTGTTATTATAATTTTTTTTAATAAATAAATAATCAAATTCTGGTTTGTTTAATATTTTACATGAGTTAATTAAATTAAGAAATCGCTAAAGCGGTGTCTTTTAAATAAATTTATTTATAGAAAAATATTAAATCTTTGGTTTTGTTATATAATATTCAAATTTTTGGAAGTTTAATATTTTTTGTGAGCAAATTGAGTCAAGAAGTCACCAAAATAACTTCTCTTGAATTGGGTAATTCAGTGAAAAATATTGAATGTTAGTGTTTGTGTATATTCATGCGAGTATTAGTCAGCTTAAAGGAAGATTAATATTTGGTCGAATTGCATACACACCTGTAATGATAAACATGTGATAATTATAAGGATTTGCTTTGTCGATGATAAATCAATCCAAAGATTGGTTTGTTGTTGGACGTGTTTTATTGTCAATGTTTGATTATTACAACAAGATACCTCTAGCGAGTTAATATCATCGTCCAAAGACTTGAGATTGATGGTGCATTAGGTGTCTTGAGATGAGTTAAACCATTATTTGAATATATATTTTATTTATAATTATTTATTTTTATAATGTGAGCATAATTAATTTATTTCTCTTGTTCTTAATTCAGCTACAATTGTTTATGTATCTGCCAATTTAAATTATGTTCCAATCCTCAAAAGTATGTTTCATACTTTGGTCTGTTCTGAAGTCAATTTAGCGTCAATACCTATTATCATTTTGTGGTTAAACTCAGGTGCAACTACTAATATCAATATTTCTATGAAAGGTTGCATAAGCTACCGAAAGCCAATTGATTCTAACAGATGGATATATGTTGGAGATGGCAAATCGGTAGAGGTGGAAGCTATAGGGCATTTTAAATTGTTATTGAGTACTGGTTTTTATTTGGATTTGAAAGACACTTTTGTTGTGTCGTCGTTTAGACGGAATTTGGTTTCAGTTTCTTATTTGGACAAATTAGGTTATTTGTGTTCATTTGGAAACAATAAGTTCAGTTTGTCTTTTAATTCAGATATTGTTGGAACTGGTTCACTTTTGCCTTATGATAATCTGTATTTACTTGATACTGTGACCACCTATAATGAAACCCTTAATACAGAATCACGGGGTACTAAACGTAAAATTGATGATACTCACTCAGGAGTATTATAGCACAGGCGCTTAGGTCACATCTCTAAAAATAGAGTTCAACGACTTGTGTTAAATGAAATCTTAGAGTCCATTGACTTCACAAACTTTGATGTTTGTGTTGAATGCATTAAGGGCAAACAGACCAGAGCGAAGAGATTAGGTGCATATAGAGTTACAGATGTCTTAGAGTTAATACATACGGACATTTGTGGGTCATTTCCTACACCTTTGTGGAATGGTCAACAATACTTTATATCATTCATAGACGATTACTCATGATATGCATACTTATTTCTTATACATGAAAAATCACAATTTATGGACGTATTCAAAACATTTAAAGCTGAAGTTGAAAATCAACTCAACAAAAGAATTAAGTCTGTCAGGTCTGATCGTGGTGGTGAGTACTATCGCAGATATGATGGGTCAGGTGAATAGCGTCCAAGACCTTTTGCCAGGTACCTAAAGGAGTGTGGAATTGTCCCACAGTATACCATGTCGGGATCACCTAGTATGAATGGTGTAGCTGAAAGACGAAATCGGACTCTTAAAGATATGGTCAGGAGTATGATTTGTCATTCCACCTTACCGGAGTCACTCTGGGGAGAGGCACTACAGACGACAACTTATATTCTAAACAGAGTACCAACTAAAGCAGCTACCAAAACACCTTATGAGCTTTGGATTGGGCGACAGCCTAGTCTGAAGCATTTCCATGTGTGGGGATGTCCAGCTGAGGCAAGGTCTTATAAGCCAAATGAAAAGAAATTGAACTCCCAAACAGTAAGTAGTTATTTTATTGGTTATGCTGAAAGATCCACGGGATATAAATTTTATGATCTCACATTAAAAACAATTTTTGAGATGGGAACTGCTATATTCTTTGAGGATATTGAGTTTGTGGGGAAGAATAAAATCAGAAACTTTGTCTTGGAGGAAGAATTGGTAACAATTTCATAACCGATTCAAATAGTTACTTTTGATAAAGTAAGTTTGAAACCTCCACAAGGCATTGTTAATGAACCCCTTACTCAAGATGATTTGGTTGTTCATGAAGAACAAACTCAAGATCCTCAAGAACCTGTGCATCATGAGCCAATAACTTTGCGGAGATCCACCAGAGAAAGAAGAAGTGCTATTTCGGATGATTACATGATATTTCTTCAGGAACATGAGGAAAACAATGGTATGATGGAAGATGACCCAGTTAACTTCCGTCAAGCCATGCAAGATTCTAACTCTGAAAAGTGGATTGAAGCAATGAATGAGGAGTATAAGTCCATGCAAGACAACAAGGTTTGAAAACTTGTCCCATTGGCAGAAGGTATGAAACTCATTGGTTGCAAGTGGATATTTAAGACCAAACGGGATTCTAAAGGTAATGTGGAAAGGTATAAGGCTTGTCTAGTAGCTAAGGGCTATACCCAAAAGGAAGGGATTGACTTTAAAGAGACTTTCTCTCCAGTTTCATCGAAAGACTCTTTTAGGACAATCATGACTCTTGTAGCACATTATGATTTGGAGCTTCATCAAATAGATGTCAAGACGGCGTTTTTCAATGGCAACATTGATGAGACGATTTATATGGTACAATCAGGCTCTGATACCAATTGTTAGGTAAACTGTAATTAATTATGATCTTCATTTTAACGATCAAACATAAACGTAATCCCATACTGATAAACATGTTGTAAACTGAATGCGAAAGCGTACCTGAATTAGTCATAATGATGATATCTTTTGTATAACACTATATTGTCTTATGGTCTTCCACCTGAAGAGCACCTGTATTTCCCTCTTGATTTTCTCTCTTGATGGGGATAGAAAGAAAGGAACGGGAGTGTAACTTACGTTCTGTCTACGTGCTCCTAGAAGGGGACCATGACCCCTTAAAATAACCAGAATTAGGTTAATTACTTAAGTTTCAGTATTTTTAATCTATCCCCTCATCAAATTAGAAATTGTTATATGGTCTCTACACAATTTTATTTTCATGACATATGCCTTTAGCCAAACTTTTTAATTTAGTCAGATCACTTTATTATTTGGCTTAATAAATAATGATCCTAACACATGTCCGTATGTATACATTGATTTTTTGGACATATTTGGTTATCTATAGATATGTGGTTTTTCGTTCATTCATTACACTTTGTACATTAAGGTTATTATATCGATCTCGATAAGTTAAAGTTTGGACCAGTTGAAAATAGACGTGTACAGATCATCTTCACATAATTTTTCATGTTACACATTTCATGATAAATCCATGTCATTTGGTTATGTCAGGATGAGTAATCATTGTTGGTTTTAGTTGTGATGATGCAATGAAAAACTAGTTTGGTTCTATATCCTGATATGATTAATGGACATGACTTTTGGAATATGCTAAAGGAATATAATGATAATTTTGAGCTCATAAAGTCTAACACATTTGTAAGGATGTAAGGATATATATATTTGTGACCAGTGGGAGATTGTTGGAAAAATTTGGGTCATGTATATATATGATACATATTTAAATGTGTTAGGGTCATTTTGCAACGCAAAATGATTTTTTTATTTTAGTATGGAATAGCCACCGATTTAAGTGACCGAAATTTTGCAACGCAAAATATTGGTCGCTATTTCGGTCGCTAAATAAAAAAGTGAAACCAAATCATATTTTGGTGGCTAAATCGGTCGCTAAATTGCGACCGAATTAACTTGGTCGCTAAATCGGTCGCTAATTGCGACCGAATTAAAGTGGTCGCTAAATTGGTTGCTAATTGCAACCGAATTAAATCGGTCGCTAATTGCGACCAAAATTAAATCGGTCGCTAATTGGGACCAAAAAAATTCGGTCGCTAATTTCAATAGCTAAATGTGTTTTTTCTTGTAGTGTACAACCTATATGCACCTTTTGGATGATAATCAACTAGGATAAAACAAAAAAAAATCTAAAATGACTCACCAGTGGTTTTCTCACAAACCTATTATTTTCAAGTTCCTTCTCTTTTATTACATTCTCTTTAATAAATCGTTACTTTGTTGCAATGGTAGGTTTTTATTTTAACAAAATGTTATCTAGAGTGTTATTAAAGAAAGTGTTTTTTTTAAAGGGGTTGTTATTACTTTTTCTTCCTCCACTACAAGAAATATTAAAATTACCGATCAAACTCGGTAATAACAAAATCGTCGGAAATTGTCAGTAATATTACGACGTCAAAATCCTGTAAATATACGAATTACGACGGATCCGATCAGTTAATAATTTTATTAATTATTAAATATTTTACTTATTTATAACATTATTTTTTTTATAGAACCCCTCCCCCTTATATTTATATTCTTATTATTTATTATTAATTATTTCAATTATTTCTCCATATTATATTTTTATAACTTTGAATTATTATCAGATTTTGAGAAATGTCATTGGCAGGATTCGAATCCAAGATCCTTAGAGTCGAGGTCGATACTCCAACCACTAAGCTACTAGAATTTCTTGATAACAATTTACAAATAAATTATATTTATATACAAATATACAAATACATTTATATATATTTATATATATTTATATATATTTATATATATTTATATATATTTATATACATTTATATATATTTATATATTTATATATTTATATATTTTATATTTTATATTTTATATTTATATATATTTATATATTTATATATTTATATATTTTATATTTTTATATTTTTATATTTTTATATATTTTTATATTTTTATATATTTATATATTTATATATAATTAAATATTTATTTTTAAAATTACTTAATTTAATAAATTATTATAAATTAATCTAATTATGATTAAATTAAATTATTAAATAAAAAATATTTTATTTTTTAATTAGTGAATAATTAAATTATATTATATAATTTTACCGACGGATTTATCCGTCGGTAAATAATTTGTAATTTACATATGAATTTACCGACGGATATATCCGTCGATAATTACTTGTTAATTTATCGACGGATTTACCGACGGATATATCCGTCGGTAAATTCATCTATAAATTACCGACGGATTTATCGATCGGATATATCCGTCGGTAACTAATTATTATTTTACCGACGGATATATCCGTCGGTAACATCAAATTTCACAAATATTTTATATCCGTCGGTAATTTCCATCGGTAATGATTATTTTCCGACGGCTACAATTCTGTCGGTAAATATCCGTCGGTAATACGCGATTTTCTTGTAGTGCTCTTCGTTTCTACGAAAGATTTTTATGTTATTTAATTTACCAATTATTGGGACAAATGGAACACACAAATTAATATTTTCTTTAAATTTTAAGAAATGATTGAAATTGTGCATAATGGCTACCAAAATAGTAAATTAACCCTTTGAACTTGATTCATATTAGATTTTGCGATTGCAACTCATTCGGTATGTGTTCTCTTTTTTCTTATTTAAATTTCAAGAACTGATCATAAAATAAAATTGAAACACTTGAAGTTATTTTGTTGCTAGGTCTTTTTTTGCCACTTCCATGAATAAGTTTTATCTATAATCACATCTCTACTAACATCAATTTTCAACCTTATAGGATTATATATGCACCTTTTGGATGATAATCAACTAGGACGGTAGGGTCACCTTAATTTCCTTCTTCAAGGATCAAGAACATATTAATAACACATAAAACAAAAAAAATCTAAAATGATTTACCAGTGGTTTTCTCACAAACTTGTTCTTTTCAAGTTCCTTTTCTTTTATTCTTCTACTTGAACACTTATTAAAGAGATAACTTGCAATCTTCACCCAAAATTTTTTTTACAACCCTTTTTGCTTAAGCAAGTTTCTTCTCATGTCAAACTATCTTATTTCTTTTTTCTACAAGATCATTGTGTTGGGGAGCATAAGGTGCTATAATCTCATGTTGGATATCATGTTTCCCATAAAATTCCTCAAACTTCGTGGATGTATACTCTCTACCATCATTAGTTCACAAAATCCTGACCAATCTATCATTTTGTCTTTCAACTAGTGATTTAAACTTCTTAAACACTTTAAATACCTCACTTTTCATCTTTATCAAATATAATTACACCATTTTGCTACACTCATCAATAAAAGACAAAATATTTTTTTGTGAAACAACCTCAAACGGCCCACATATAATACATCTAATGATTTCATAGAAATGTGAGTTGAAAGAGTTTTTCGATTGTATACTAGTATTGTAGATTGCATAAGTTTTGTTAGGAATCCTAACCTTAGGCAATCCATTCACAATTTTCTTATAATTGACTTAGACTTCTAAAGTTCAATTGACAAAACCTTAGATACTAAAATCAACTATCTTGCTTAGTTGTTGTTAAATACTATGCATTTGTAACATTAATGTTAACTTGAAAAGTTCAGTATTTTGAGAGTGAAGACTTAAACAATAACTTCTTCTTTTGAGCAAACAACTTTATCTTGCATAATAAATGAGAATATTTTTTTAATTAATTGTCCTACACTTATGAAACTAGATTACATACCAAACCCAACTAATACATTGTTTTGTTTAGTCATATTTCCTTTTAATCATAAAGTTACCAAATCCCGTACTAACCAAGATTTTATTAACAAGTTTCACTTTTATTGATCTATTTGTATCTAGATTTGTAAGTCACACCTATATCCTCTGATATAATTAGGATAACTAGTTTTCAAAAATTAAGATCTTAACGATGAACAAGTTTTTGTGATAGTAACTTTGAAAGTTTTGAATTTAAATAATTTTTTTTCTATTATATTTGCTTTTTGTTGATTCTATATATTTTTTTCTTTTTCTTTTTTAATCAACAATGTGAAGAAATATGCCTAAATCTAAAAAAAAAAAAGTACTCTTTTTTTCTTTATTTGAATTGAGAAGAACTATTAGACTCTTTTGATGAAACTTAATTTTATCTTCATGTATGGAGTTTCCTTCATTAGAGTTCAAACCTTTCTTTAATTTTTTTTCTTTTTAGCCTGAAAAAATATTCTTGATTTGTGCTTATAAGGACCATAAAAAGAGATATTTATCATCTAGATTTTTAGATTATGAGTTATTTTACAATAATGAATTAATGTTGAAGGTGATTTAGTTCATTTTGCATTAATGATTTATGTAAAACTATTTAATTTTGAAATGACTCAATGAGTGGAAGAAAATCATTCTTAAAGAATTAGAAACAATTCAGAAGAAAAATACTTAAAAGTTAACAAATCTACCTCCTCACACAACAGTGAGAGGATTCAAACAAAAATTAAAAGTGGATTAATTAAAATTTTTACTTCATTACCAAAATCTAAAAATATAAGATCAGGAAATAGTTTTGGTTAACAACTGATTCTAAAATTATCTTTTATTAACGGAGATGAATTATAACTCAATTCTATATTTTGATATTATAAGAAAAGTGAGGATAATAAATAAATTAGATAAAATTTTATGTGATTTTAATCAGACATCTAAATAGTAAAATATTAATTTCTTTTATGAAATAATTGTTCTAAAGTATTAAATTGAATATAATATTTATGTAAAAAGAAAGTGGAAGGAATTATCCTAATTTGTCCATATGCTTCTGATTGGAAGCAATGATGACTAGAAGTAACGATTAGGAAATAAAGTTTGGCCGACATAGTAAATGATGATAGATTCCGACCATGCATAAGTGTACAATCACATTCACATTTCTGTAGTAGTTTCTCTCCCACATTGAAAAAGTCTACGTAATTTCTATCAACTTATTAAAAAAATATAAAAATCATCATAACCGAGGAAAGTCCCTGGAATCTCACAGGAAGAAACCGAGTTGGATTCAAATGCCCTATATACCATGATTCGCGTTCCCACAATTTTAATCCTCTCAATAGCAATTCAATCCCTCACATTGGACCTCAAAATTTGAAGCAGAACGGTCTTTATTGCATCATTAATTCTGTGAAACTCCTTGTATCTATTTTCTGAAAGAAATCTGAAACCCTCTCTCAGTGCACTTTCAATCAATGTATATTTTATTCTTCTTTTGCTTTATGTGTTTCTGTTTTCATTCTCGTCTTTTCGTGACATTGTATAATTTTTTTTTTTTTTTCTCGTTTTCTAAACTCTCAATTGATGCATGATCAGTGCTGACCAGTTAACCTGTACACTGTTTGATTTAATAGAGGAAGGATGGCATAGGTGTTATCATGATAGATCACACAACTTGTTACCTTTATTTACACGATTTCAAGAGTTGTTCGCATTCGACGTGGAGAATTTGAGAAGAAACTTGAAGGTGTTGGAACAACGATCAAATTTCCTCGTTGCGTTCCTGAAAACCTCCATTTTCAACTTGCTCATGCTAGTTGTTAGGAAGGATATCTCCTTTCTTTTCAGAATTCATGAGTAAGTTGACGATGGAAGTTGTTAGGAACGGTATGTCCTTCCTTTGTTGACTGATTTAGGTGGATAGGGTGAAATAAATTTGGCTACAAAGATCTGTTAGGAAGAAGAAGTCAAGGGTAAAGTTTGCTGGCACAACTAATTCTTCTTATATGGTAAGTCTCATCAGTTCTTTGGTACCGAGAATAAAAACCTGTAAGATTAGAATTCAAAACGAAAAATATCTCCATAATCCTCTTTCATAAACTCTTCCTAGAGATAGCAGAACATCATATGGTATCCAAGTATATTTGGATGTTTTACCAGTAATAGATGAAAATAGCGGCACGCAAAGCGTTTTGAATTCCTATTTCTCAGAGCAGCTTAAAACAGAGTCCAAGTTTATTGTATATGTATGTATCTTACGTCAATGAGAACATAACATAAGCATTTCATATTCTTTGCAAATATTGCTTTAAGATTACAGAAGCATTTTCTTTTCTTTTGACCTGTAGAACATTATCTGTGTTTGGTAAGAAACATACAATCAAATGCTTTTGCTGACAAATCTCTTTGCTTTCATCATGTAATTCAAGGAAAATATTCTATTTGTCACCTAAAATGCCTAAGTTGAAGAATATCGTAGAGATTGTGGATGCGATGGGCCGGAGTTTCTAAATGAGACGCAATTAAAAGGTTGGGAATTTTTCTGTGGAAAAATTGGGGGAATTGGTCCCGGGATGATGTTTATAAAATTTTGGTGACTTTTAGAGTTGCATTTCCTAAATTTGGCTTCCCTTAAAACTTAAAACCACTTGTTCATGAAGACTCAGCGACCCTTTTCGGTCACCGCGTTCTCTTAAAAATACAGTTTTATTCCTGACGAGGAACGTGTCAAAAGGTGCTTATTCTTACTTTCTCACATATGGGATCATTCTGCACCTGCCCTTTTTGTCTGGATTCACTTGAAGTACACATCACGAGATGGGACATAACCATTTATCACTTCTTTTCCAATTAATATATATATATAAACTTATTGTTGAGTTAGAGAATAGAAAGCCAGGTTTTGACCGTTGTTTACTTTATATGCCTGGGTTGAATTATGCAGGTTGTGTGATAATGCACGGAAGAACCACTTTGCTGTTGAGTCGTGGCAAACCATGGTGGAGGAATTGTCACTCCTGGATGATTCGAAAGATCCTTACCTCTAGAAGTGTTTCACGGACCTAAGGTTATTTCCTCAAGACAAAGAATTCCTTTTCCTACTGTCGTTGATATATAGGCAGATTTATTATATAAATTTGATGACGGCATTGTAGCAATGGACATGAACAAAAAATTAGACGGAGTTATACATTTAGTTGAACAAATAATTCAATAGCATGATAGATCATGAGAGAAGCAACTATTTCCTTTTGAAATAGACCAAAATGACCAATGTTGGAGCTAATCTAAACCTCTTGGTTCTCTTGATTATGCAACTCCACATTTATTTTACCAACTTATTCTGTGGACTGAAGTATAAATTCGTATTTAATCTATCTGAAAGCGTGCATTTTAATGTTGTGGGATAATTTCTTTTCCTAAGGAGTTCTTTTCCTTGCTCATTTAGGAAAAATTCAAGTGACTCAGACCAATGATTTCTGAGTTTGCAATTTATCAAAACACCATTTTTACTCAAAATCAGACCAGTGAACTTTATACCATATTCAATAAAAAAAATCTTAAATCGTTAGGTGAGTCTCCTTACATTTTTAATTAACGTGTGATTTCATCTTAACATACTTCATATCTCAAAATATACAAGTCTTCCAAGTTTACCGAAGAACATGATTAATCTATGTAATAAAAAGAGACGATTAGACAATTTGGCAACTTAAGCATCGTGAAATGAAAACATATTCTTGAAGCAAATAATCTACCTTTTCTATAAAAAAAATGAAATTAGTTTTTTTCATAAATTAAAATTAGTTCATAAGTTGATTTTTAATCTATAAACTAATTATTTTTTGTATACTTTTTCTCTATTAGAATATTTTATGAAAAACTGGTTCAATCCTTTCACAAAAGTGAAAGCGTGCATTTCCCTATAGGGTACAAATTCGCATGCATGACTACAATTCTTGCACCATATGTCACTAAGCATCTTTTGATAGTTTTTCTTTATAACAATTTATTTAGCCGGGCTCAATGTGATGCATCATTGATTTTTCATGTGCATTTCTTTTGGTTGTTTTTCAGGCTATGGATTCACTATGACAATTATCATATATCGTCCCCAAATGGAAATCATAAATGTTGTTCCGTACTCAAGCTTTTTCTACCTACCCCTCACAAGCATAACAATTAGACTCTTTAAAATCAAGTAGTATTGAAATACATAGAAAAGCTACAAATAGAAAACTTAAAAGGCAATTTAAAGATACAATGCAAGTAAAATATGCCAAAAGGTAGGTGGATAGTACTTGAAGTACTTATTATATTTTAGTGGGCAGAGTAATTTGTTTATTTTGTAACAGTCACTTGTCTCATTTGACAACATAATTATGAGATGGAGTGTAATATGGAAAAAGAATATTGATATGTTGTAGAAAGTGCAATTATATGATGCGTATAAATAAAAAGAAATAGAATGGTTTTAAAAATAAAATATTTGTTTGGAATAATTTGTTATAACAAATTAGTTTTTATGCTTACTTTTTTGTATGAAGATTAAAATCATTTTTTTTCATTCTCTTTAATGTTATGAAATGAAAATCTCTAACTATGTTTGACAAAATTACGAAGAGATTTAAGATGATAAGAAGTTTAGGGTGGTTTGGGGATGGGCTAAGCTAAAGTTGCAATGGTTATTTTTGAACTGTGTTGCAAATGGTTGGACAGGAGTGAAATTTCTTGGCTTATGGCTTATGTATGTGGCATTCTGTACTCTATCTGGTATTTGATATTTTCATCAATTACCAGGGCTTCATTTTTCATGGCTAAGTTTAGACAATTTGTGCCTTGTCACAGATTTATATGGGCTTCTTGGACTACTTGTATCTGTTGCGCTGCCAAGTGTATAATATAAGGGGTATCATTAACAAGGAGTATGAGGGACTTCAAACATATGCTAACTTTTTTTTTTTTAACTATTTGTAATTAATTGATTTAATTTGAGAAAAAAATTATAATTAGATCGTTCTTAAATATAAAAAGTTATATGATAATTATCGATTGTAATTTTTATTCTGACCTGTAGAGCGTTTAATTCAATCTTATCAAGATTACAAATTTAATATTCGAATAAGATAATTACTTAAATAACTATATTCTAATTAATAATTCTAATTTTTTAATTAGTGATACTCGTTTGATAAAATATTACTTTATTTGAAGGCCCGAATAAATATAACTATATGGGTAGGGGCGCGGCATAAATTTTAGATGATGAAGCTAAAATATTTGGAAAAAAAATATTTTAATTATATTTATATTTATATTTATAAAATAATTTGTATTTAATTAAAAAAATAATTAATTTTTGGTCTCGTAAATCCGCCGTATGGGTAGGAAAATCTAACAGAAACTTTAGAATTTTGGGGTTAATATTAAGTGGGGGATTCTCAACATCTGAAGGTAGCTATGTGGTTTTTTTCAATATTTTACAACACTCATAAGTGCTTCAAAAACTGACATTTTTTAGTTTCATAATCAGCTAACTGAATCCATCTTCATCTTTATCTTAAAGAATTCATTGTAAATTATATATATACTCAGGAGATTGAGCTCATTAGTCCCAGAAGATCATCCAAGAGTCTAGTTACGTCTAAAAGTACATAACAAATTATGTAACAAACTGAACAAGAGATTCACACTCACTTAAACACCAACACTACACTTCAAAACAACACAAATCCAAGGGAAGAAATTTCAGAAGTTCGTAGAAAAAATTAACAGACAAACGAGAAGTTGTGGTTTATCTTGGAAAATAACGTTATTTTCCAACCTATGCAACTTTATAAAATGGGAATTGTTCTCCACTTATATTCTTAACTTTTCCACTATTTTTTAATGGTGTGATTTTTTTTTTTTTTTTTATGGTATTATGTGTTGCCAAACTTTTTGCGAATAATATAGTACTCCTAAATTATAATAATAAGCAGTAACATCACGTAAACATAATTTATCAAGGATAGATTATAAAGTAGGCACTATGCACACGCGCATGGGGGTTGACCTAAACATCGGTTATTAAAGCAATAAACTGAAACTGTATCTGGAGCTGATAATGAAAACAAAAATGGAGAAATACTCACTCAACTTGATAATATCTTATTTTTTTAGATTACATTTCTAATCTCTCCTTTGTCTCATCTCTTCCAAACAAATTAAATAAGTAGAATAAAAATAAAAATAAAAGAACTACGTGAGGTTGATTTGGCTAAAATAAACTAAATCTTCAAGCACTATAAGCACGGATACACTGAAGTTTAATAATTTTTAAATCCATTTTAAAAAAACTTATCACATTTGATTCTCTCAAACTAAAATACATCTTAACAAAATATAAGGTTTGTATTTAGTAAATTTATAGCAAATTCATTCAAATAGTTTTTTATTTTTTTATGTAGAGATATTTTCTCTTTAAGACTACAAGACACATCTTCGGAAGAGTATTTTAAAAAAGTATAAAGCAAATGAATAACACAATTTTATGAAAAAAGTAAAGGAGAAAAAAATATTCTATTTTTTTTAGTTCTTAATATTGATTGCAGTTAGTTTAACTTTAAAAAAGTATTAATTAAGATAAAAAGTTAATAAAGTATATTTAAGATAAAAAAAATTAAATTATTTTGAGGGAAAATTTTGAATTAAGTAATTTATTTATTATTTGATATAAATAAAATAACTGCATATATTATTGTACCTTTTCATTCAATATTTATTTTTAATGTTGTTTTATTAAAAATAAATACAATTTAATTAAATATTATAAATTTATTTTCTACATTTTTTTATTTTATTGTTGTCCTAAAATGAAATTTTTGTCTCTATAAAAATTTAGTTGCACATATATTCCTGCAAATTTTCACAATTAACCAAATTTGGTTCATGTTAATATATAAATTTATATGTCATCTAATTTATAATAATTCCATAACTAAGTAAATTTTTAAAATTTATCATGTCATCTAACTGTTGATAAATAATATTATAAGCTATAAAAAATATTATGTAAATATTTAACATTGAAAAACTTATATGACCAAACAAGTAACTAAAAAATTCAAGTCATTCAATTAAAAAAATAACAATGTTGACATTGTTAATTTCATAAACTGTTATAAATTTATTATTATGCATAAATTAAAATTATAAATATTTGTGTATTAATGATTTTATTGTTAATTTAAATGAAAAGTGGTCACTCAATTTATTATAAACTTCTCCATAAATTATGTTCAGATAAATAAATAAACTCAACTTCTTTGTAAATTAAAATAAATATATGTACAAATTAAATATCAACAATTGTATAAATTATATATAAGAGAACTTCTACATATTAATTTTAGTTTATAAACAAATAATTTTATTTTCCCTACAAAAATCTTATAAAGTAATTCATCCACTAATGTATTTTAAAAATAATATTTTTATCTTTTTGTACTGTATGACCTTACAATGATAAATAACAGTTAATGGTTTAAAAAACAAATATGGTGGTTGGAATCTCTTAAAAAAAATATATGACTGATTATAATTTATTATTGTATTATAAATTAGAATATATAAATTTTATATTATATTAAAATAAATTTTTATGTTATAATATATATATAAAAGTATTTTGAGAAGTAGAAATGGAAGACCTAATTTGGACATTCTCTTTCTCTGGTTGGACAGCTAACAACTTTTATAAGTCAGCTGATAATTTGACTTTTAGTCATGATCTGCTCGTGGGTCCCATACTTAAACATACACAAAGTCAAAAACTTTATTTCTCAAATAAAAAACAAATAACAAATAAAAAATTTATTTTAATATTGCTGAAAATTTGATTTTTAGCTATAGTCAATGTCCCTTATCCTATAAACAGGTAATTGACCCAATTTTGTCTAGACAATACATAATTAGGGTAGTTTATGTATATATAAAAATATTTAATTAGTGTGTGATTGAAATGGTTAATGGAATAGCGTGCTCACAGAAATAAAATATTTTTTAT